TAACACAGAATGGAAAACATGTACAGTTATTAAAACAGCAGACCCAAACTGGAGGAGGACAGCAAGGTGAGAAAGAGAAGGATGATGAATAAATTCCAGAGGGCTAAGGCTATGGAAGGCCCCGTAAAAATCGTTTAGCATCATGAGAATGGACAGCTCCCTCTCTCCCTCCCCCCACCCCTCTGCCCCAGTCACGGGCTCACAGGGGCCTCTTCCCAGCAGAAAAGGACTCTGAGACAAATTCAGAGGAAATCGGGAGTGTCTACCAGGGTCTAAGACAGAAGAAGAGTGGCTGCCTTTGAGAAGACAGACTGGCATGCCTTAGGTGTGTTCAGATCAAGGCCCCAGGGACACAGATTTGGTTGGCTAAAATCAATCATCACTGTAGACTCAGGGGAAGACGGTGGGCCCAGGGCTTTCCCATCATGGGATCAGGGAGACTTAGTGATTCCTGCCTCAGCAGCAGAGAGACTGAAGGGACCAGAATCTGGGACACCGCCAAGGTGAACCGAATGAGCTCTTCCAGGAACCTGCCTGAGGTCACTCTGGGAGGGCTTCAGTGTGGGTTAAGGCATAATCTTAACCAGATGGGATAACCTGGGAGAGAGGAACGGGACCCACGGTGGTTAGAGAGGGTTATTTTGGAGACCGGAGCAGGTGCCTGGGAGTCTAGAAGAGACGGGCATCCTCAATGGCTGGAAGTCAGCATGAGAACACTGCTCCCTACAGAGGGCCAAGGAATGGCCACAGTGGACTTGACTTCCTTCATAGTTTTGCTTAAGCCAGTTCAAATAATAACGATCTGGTCTTCAAAGCTGTGCTCCTGCTGATAACCTTTTGGTCAACCATCACCGACCACCTGATAAAGCCCAGACTCTATCTCTGCTAACAGTGACTGTGGTCTGGCCCCTGCCAACAACCTTAGACCCTTTTCTTGACACTTGGCAGCATTTATGCTCCAGCCACGCTAGATTAGCCATGTAACCTCGTGACTCTGGATCTCTGTACATGCTGTTCCCGATGTGGCTTGCCCTGTACTTTCTCTTACTTGATTCCTCGAAATTGTCCCAGAAAAGCTCAGCTCAATCGTCATCTGCACTGAGGTGTCTTCCCTGAATGTCCCACCCCTCCCCTGCTGCAAAAATCCGAAGTTTTAGATGTGTTTCCTGGGGCATCCCCAAACTATCCCTCTGTCTGGAAATGACTCATTTTCATCTTTCTTCCCCACAAAGCTGTGTTCTGTTCATTCCTGTCTCTCTGGCAGCTAGCACAGGGCCTGGTGCAAAGGAGGCACTTCATTACAGTTGGATGGGATCAATAATAATTATTTTAAATTAACATCACAGATGGCACATTCTATACAAAACTTCACCAAATACTCTGTCTTCAAAAGGCTCCCGTTCGGAAGTCCTGTATGAACAATGAAAAGATGCTCACCAGCCCTGACCATCAGAGGACTGCAAATCAAAACCACAATCAGATACCACCTCCCACATTACGATAACTAATGCAAAACAAACAAACAGAAAACCCAGTAAATAACAAACGCTGGCAAAGATGTGGAGAAACTGGAACCCTCGTTGGGGGGAATATAAAATAATGTAGCCATTACGGAAAACAGTTTGGAGGTTCCTCAAAAAGTTAAACATAGGATTACCATATGATCCAGCAATTCCACTCTGGGTATACACCCGAAAGAATCAAAAACAGGGTCTCAAAGAGATAGTTGTACACTGTGTTCATAGCAGGGTCATTCAGAATAGCCAAAAGGTGGAAGCAGTCCAAGTGTCCACTGAGAGAGGATGGATAAACAAAATGCTGTACTACATAAACACAGTGGAACGGGATTCAGCCTTAAAAGAAAGAAATTCTTCTTTTAAGAATGTGCTGCAACACGTGCTACAACATGGGTGAACCTTGAGGGCATCATACTGCGTGCAATAAGCCAGTTACAAAAGGACAAATACTAGGGCTTCCCTGGTGGTGCAGTGGCTGAGAGTCTGCCTGCCGATGCAGGGGACACGGGTTCGTGCCCTGGTCCGGGAAGATCCCACATGCCGCGGAGCGGCTGGGCCCGTGAGCCATGGCCGCTGAGCCTGCGCGTCCGGAGCCTGTGGTCCGCAACGGGAGAGGCCACAACAGTGAGAGGCCCGCGTACCGCAAAAAAAAAAAGGACAAATACTAGATAATTCCCCTTATATGAGGTCCCTAGAGCAGTCAAATTCATAGAGACAGAAAGCAGAATGGTGGTTGCCAAGGGCTGGTTGGGGGGCGGGGGATGGGGAGCTAGTGTTTAATGAGGACAGCCTCAGTTTTGGAAAATGAAGAGCTCTGGAGATGGATGGATGGATCCATGGATGGATGGATGGCAGTGGTGGCTTCACAACAATACAAATGTACTTAAGGCCACTAAGTATGCTTGAAAAAGGTTAAGATGGTAAATTTTATGTTATGTGTATTTTACCACAATAAACAGTAAAAAGCCCTATGTGAGGAATTTGAGAACCTGAGTTCAAATCCCAGCTCTACCACTGCCCCACTGCCCAGCTGGGGGGTGACAGCCTCATTCGCCTCTGCTGTAAAATGGGGATAATTCCCAGAGCAGGGAGGCTTTATCTACTGAGGGCCGTAACCTTTTCACATTACGCCTGATATTTCGTGATGAGGGTCTGTGCATCTGTGGTAAAAGGCACACGCTATTTTTGTTTCGGGAGCACAAAATATCCATCGGGGACCCTCCAAATGAGAGCACTTCACTGGGAAAGAGCCTTGTTTAAGCACCACGTGCATGCTGGGCACACAAGGGATGCACCGAGGCCCATTTCACACCCTGACAATGAATTCCCTCTGCTGCTGTCTAGTGTCTAATGATAATATTGACCTTTTCTAGCTGTCAAACTTGTCTTATTAAATCCTGAGGTCTTAAATGCTTTGCACACAGAGGCTGACCGTTTGCCCACCCGAGCACGTGTTCATGTATAATTCATGGCGTATCACGTTGCCTGGCAAATGAATATTTATCAGCTTTTTCATAAGAGGCAGGATGGCGTTTCCTTTTGCTGCTACCAAAATCCTATGCTGCAGCAGATGAAATTTGTGAGCAAATAAAAAGAGAAGAAGAAGCAGCAGCAAAAACTCCCAAGTCCGTCCCACCGGTGATTTTCCACTTCTCGAGGCCTCCAGCGAGTGTATGGAGGCGGCTTCGGTTTGGCTCCAAGAGAGAACTGCTGAGTCGTCCGGAATAGAAATGCCTCCATATGCTACCCCCACTGCCCCCGCAGACAGCTCCCCCACGCCCCACTTCTGTGCTGTTTTCAACTGCAGAGGAGCCCAAGCCCCTTTCAATGGTTCCATTCCAGATGCTCTGAACGGAGATTAAGACTGGGGCGGGGGACCTAGGATAAAGAACCCCAATGAAGCTTGGTACAGAGTGGCTGGTGGCACCAAGCCAGGCAGAGTTTCGTGGTTTCCAAGATGGGTTGGCGGGGATAGCCTTGCTCCACACCAGCTTGGGTCTGAGGTCCCCTCCCCACGGTGACTCAGGAGGGCCACAGAGAAATGCCGCCTTGTCTGCAGGAGGTGGCCTGTGCCCTGGCCCTTGCTGCAGAAACGAGCCCAGAGAGGACTTAAGAATTGTGACTCTTTTCACTCTTCTTACCTCACGACTCAGTGAGCTCAGGCATGCACGGGCACACTCACTTGGAGGGGGAGTTTCAACACGGTTGTGAATATCCAGCCTGTGTGGCTTGGCTGCCGTCACTCTGGCCTTGAAAGATGATGATGGTGGTGCTGATGCTGCTGACAGCAGTTCATATATAATGAGCCCTTATTATATGCCGGGCCCTACGTCAAGCACATCAATTACACTATTACATACAATCCTCCAAATGCCCCGCTGGAGTTGGTATTATTGTTGTTCCTATTTTACAGATGAGGAAACTGAGGCAGAAAGATGGATTCACTCGTTTAAGTTCACACAGCCCCAGCTGGGAGTCAACTGCAGGTCTGTTTGACTCTGGAGCCCAGGCTTTCTCAAAAGCACTCCCTGGAATCAAGAAATTTGGGTTCAAGGACAAAACCCATGAATGCTCGGCTATGTGGCCTTAAGGGAATCATCCATCTCCATGAGCCTACGTCTCGTCATTTATAAAAGAGATGTAACAGCTCTTCTTTTGCAGGGCTGTTGTGAGGATGCACTAGCGCTTTGCAAATTCTGAAGAGCTCTATCATTGATTAGCCGGTGGCCATTCTCAATAGAAACATTTACCGAGGCTTTGGCACTAGGGGTGAAGACTTCCGGCTCCAGAAGTTTACAGTAGAGATGGAGAAAGGAGATACCCAGGGGCAGAAATAACAAGGTTAGGTACATGTATTCATTCATTCATCCAACGGGAAATTTATCGAACACTTGCTGTGAGCTAGAGAACACACAGGCAATCTGTGTATAATTTCAGATAAGGATAAGTGCTATGCAACTATTAAAACAAGATGATGTGATGGAGAAGAGCATCTGAGCAAGATCTGAATAGCAAGATGACAATGACACTGGCCAGGCAAGGACTGGGGAGAAAAGCGCTCCAGGCAGAGGGGACAGTTTGTGCAAAGGCCCTGAGGGGGGTGTTTGGGACCACAGAGTCCTCTTTTCATAGACTATATCTCAGGGTGCTGGTGCCGAGGGGAACATTCCTATGGGTGGGAATGACGACTTTTCATCTCGCTAGGAGTCCCCCTGGCTGGGACTTGCTCTTTTCGTGGCTCTAATTCTTTCCCTGCACTTTCTCATGCAGGGTTTCAGAAGGACCATTCTGGGGTAGGCAGTGTCCTAAGTGACATGGCAGCGGGCAAAGTCTGGAGCAGGGGTCTGAGTCAAAGCTCATGCCACCGTCACCTTAGCCCCCAAGGCCCAGCTCTCGGATCCCGGCTGCCCCAGCTGCCCCCGGGGCCATCCCTACAGAACAGAAGCACTGGGGCCTCCACCCCCATCACCTGGCTCCACATACCTTCTTCTCATCCACTCTCTCGGGGGCCGACTTGAGCTTCTTCATGAGCAGAGGGTCCAGCATCTGAAATCTTCGGCGGAACTGACTGAGCCCCATGTGGTCAGCATAGCCTGGGGTGGGGGGAGCAGAAGAACAAAGAATCCAAGTGAGAAGCCCAGCCCAGGGGTCCAGGGGTCTGCTCCCAGCCTTGCTACTCACTGTGTGCCCTCACGTCTTAGGGCCTCAGTCTCCCCATTTGCTAATTTAAGAAATTGGGTTCAATCAGCATTTCCCAACTGCATTCCCCAGAACAAGGACCCTATAAAAGGCTCCCATGAAAGTCTGGAAAAGCTGCCCCCTCATCTGCTTCTCCGAAGGTCACAATCTGTGTGAGCACTGACGTCAAAGGCTCCAGGCCCTCTGCAGGGAATTTGCCCTGATTAGCTTCACTTAACCCAGAGTTCTCCAAACCTGCTGGACCATGGGAAAAAAATTTTTTTTGGTTTAATACTTTTTACCGCCCCACAGACCGCATGTGGGAAATGCTGCATCAGACGGTATCTACATGTTAAATCTAACATGTAGGATGGACACAGCTGCACCCTTCTGTGTGGGAAGTGGCATCTGAAAAGCTACTGAGAGAAGGTGACGTTTGAGCTGGCCTTTGAAAGGGCCGTGAGAGTGTGCCAGAGGATTTGGTGTGGAAGAAGTCCAGGCAGAGGGAGCCACAGCAGGAAAATACAAGGTTTGTTTCACAGTCATAGCAAAAGCAGTTACTGAGCTTTTATGTGTGCAAGACACTAGGATAACAGCTTCCTTGTGTTACAGACACTCTGGGGACTGTATCATTACACCCATTATATAGATTGGAAATTGAGGCCCAGAGAGTTCAAGTCACGTAGCCCAAAGTGAAGTCAACCCTAACTCTCCCAGGTGGGATCCAAACCCAGACAGAGATGATAACGAATCCAGTGAAAGTAACCAACAATGAGGTGAAAGACAAGCAGGGACCGGGTCCCCAAGGAACTTGACATCAAATTCCAGACCTGGAAGCTTGGACTTCATCCTGGATACAAGGGGTGTGGTAGATCCTCAGTTGCCTTAAAAAGAACCCTCAAGTGGCTGGATGGGAGAAGGTCTGGTGAAATCTCACTCCATTTTGAGACTTCATTTTACAATAAGCCAAATGCATGAACCATGAGGAAGAGTCATGGTGGGTACATGTGGCAAATCCATGAAGCCTTCCTGGGGGAAGAGGAGGGTTTCAGGCCAGGTTGGAAGGATGCTGACCGCACAGAGACCTGGGGGCTGGGAGGTTACAGGCCTGTCCTTTTGAGTCAGACTTACTTGGGTTCGTATCTCACATCTGCCCTGATTAGCCCTCTGACCAGCAACAAATGACCCTATTTCTTTGAGATTCAAGTTCTTCACTTGTCAGATGAGAGTAATAAGATCTCCTGTCACACAGTCACGATGAGGATTAAATCCAATAATGATTGTAATATTGGGCTGGCCAAAAAGTTCGTTCGGGTTTTGCTGTGCCACTCCGAACGAACTTTCTGGTTAACCCAATAAAGGAGGCTAATGTGTTTTGAGCACTTTCCCAGGTCCAGGCACTTTTCTGTTATTCCCTTATTAATTCATCAACCCACTCGACAGCTCTCTGAGACCTGAGCTATCACAGGAGATAAAAGGCAGGCACGATCTAGGGACCTGCCAGTGTCAGCCACAGTCAAGCCCAGGCCAACTGGCTCCAGAGTCCAACCTGTGCCCACCAGTCTGCCCCATATGTAACGTTTGCTGAGCATTCACTCTCCTCCAGGCATTGTGTTAAGGGCTTTGTGAGAACAACATCAATTAGTATGCGTAACCGCAGTGCCCAGCACATCGTAGGTACCTGAGAAACAGCATATGTATGTGTGCATCATGCGTGCATGTGTGTGTGAATTCAGGCACACCTGACATGTTGCAGGTTCAGTTCCAGACCACCGCAACAAATCAAACATCACAATAAAGCATCCCCCAAACTTTTTGGTTTCCCAGTACGTATAAAAGTTATCTTTAGACTATACCATATTCTTTTTTTTCAATGTTAAACTCATCTTTTTTTAATATTTATTTATCTATTTATTTTGGCTGCGCCGGGTCTTAGTTGCAGCACACGGGATCTTTGTTGCGGCAGGCGAACTCTTAGTTGCGGCAAGCGCGCGGGATCTAGCTCCCTGACCCGGGATCAAACCCGGGCCCCCTGCACTGGGAGCGTGGAGTTTCACCCACTGCACCACCAGGGAAGTCCCTAGACTATTCTATTAAGCATGCAATACCATTACATCTAAAACACAATGTACTTCAATTAAAAGTGCTTTACTACTAGTATTTTCCTGCTGAATTTTATAATTACTTTATTTTTACTAAAGGGTATTAATTGAATAAGTAAATTGATACACTGTAATTCTGTGTTTTTATAAAAATAAATTAATAATTTAAAAAAATACTTTATTACTAAAAAATGTAACCGTCATCTCAGCCCTCAGCGAGTTGTAAATTTTTGCTGGTGGTGGGTTGGAACCATTGCAAGAATTACCAAAATGTGACACAAAGTGAGCAAATGCTGTAGGAAAAAGCGGTGACAACAGACTGGTTTGACACAGGGTTACCACAAACCTTTGATTTGTAAAGAAGTGCACTCTCTGTGAAGCGCAATAAAGCGAAGCACAATAAAACAACATCTGCTCGTGTATATGTTACACGTGCACAGATTCCAAATCATAAATACGTGACACACGCGTATGGGTCTCTGTATGCTTGCACACATTGCTTGTACACATTGCTTGTATGGTGTGAGACAGAAGTGACTCAGAGCAGAAAACAACGAGGAGGACTTCCCTGGTGGCGCAGTGGTTAAGAATCCACCTGCCAACGCAGGGTACATGGGTTTGAGCCCTGGTCCGGGAAGATCCCACATGCCGCGGAGCAACTAAGCCCATGCGCCGCAACTACTGAGCCTGCGCTCTAGAGCCCGTGAGCCACAACTACTGAGCCCACACACCTAGAGCCTGTGCTCCGCAACAAGAGAAGCCACCGCAATGAGAAGCCCGCACACTGCAACGAAGAGTAGCCCCCGCTCGCCACAACTAGAGAAAGCCTGCACGGCAATGAAGACCCAATGCAGCCAGAAATAAATTAATTAATTTAAAAAAAAAAAACAACAAGAAAACAATGAGGAAATGAACCAGGTCTGGGAGACAGAAATTTGGCAAGTTATACCACAAGACTTCAACCCTTCACTGAGCTGGAAGCTCCCTCCAAGTCGGGCGGCGCTGAAAACACAGAGGGCGGACCCGCAGGGAGGAAGGGGACGCTGACCCGTGCCTGCACGCAGGGACTCTAACCCACGGGCCAGGATGCCTCCGGCCGGCGGGGCACAGTCAATCAGCCACGGGCTGTGACCACCTCGCTCTTCCCGTGCGACAGTATCTGTCTTCCTGTGCCTGTGGTTGCGTGGACCAGTGGGAAAATCAATGTGATGCTGAAGGGAGCAAGGGGCTCATCTTTGCTTCCAGCTGCTCCCGGCTTCTCCGTCAACTACCTCATGCCCAGGGTTCCGTATTAACACGGTGGAAGAACACGGGGGCAGCGACCACAAGCTGAGGCGTCAGTGACCACAGGAATATTAAACAAATGGGTGCCCACCCAGACTCCCCGCCAGCCCTGCCGCCCCATCCGCTGACTTCGCCTGAGCTGCTTCTGGCTGGGAGGGGAACCCAGGGGGTGGCCTACGAGGTCTCAGAGGCAGAAGAGAATGGGAAAATTTCAGATCGAACTCAACTCATAAGATGAGCTAATGGGGGAACCCTGGTGCATGCTTGCTTTCTCGAATACAGGCCTGACACTTTGTTCCTTTGGCTGAAACCCCTTATTCCCCTATCACTCTATCACCTCCTCAGCTGGACCCGGGAAAGCCAAACTTCCAAAGACAGCATTCACAGGCTGTCTCTCCTGGTGGATCCGCCCCTCATCTCCCACAATCCCCCACTCATTCTGAACCCGATTCCCTGAAAACCAAGGCTCCTCCATGCCTCCCTGCCTTTGCATACGGTGATCCCTCAGCCAAGCTTTTCCTCTCCCTGCACCAGCCAGAGGTGAGCTACCTGCTTCTTTCCAAGACTCAAATAAGACGTTATCTCCTCCAGGAGGTCTTCCCAGTCTCCCTGCTTCCTCCTCTGGGCATCCCCATGTGACACACGCCCTGGTCCCATCATGGACCAAGCTTGTTTCCACACGGATCTCCCAAACCAGGCTGAGTGTCTTGAAGACCAAATATTAATCGTTGTGGAAATTTCACCCTCTACTCCAAGGCAAATGCCCCTGAGATGTTTGTTGTTGAAAGGAAGATGAGTAAGACACACCCGTGGCCTTCCAGGAGTTCACAACTAAATCAGGAAATAAGATGGGCTTTGGACTCAAAGAGACCTCGGCATAAACCTAGGCTCTGCCGCATCCCGCTGTGTGACCCTAAGCAAGTCCCTTCTCCTCTCTGAGCCTCAGTTTCTTCATCTGTAAAATGGGGTAATCATAGCTCCCCCCTCACAGGGCTGCTGGGCAGTTTCGACAGGATGCTGCATGGAAAGCTCCTGGCACACAGCTGATGCTCCTGTCCCTCGGCTGTCACTGGTCCAGGAGTGTGTCCCAGGAGTCAGAGACAAGGTGCTCGCTCCCAGGCTGCCTCTTACCTGCCCTGTGCAGGCGCAGTGCCTCCAGGATGTAGGACCCTGCAAGCTGCACCCTCAGTGCCGGGATGTCCAAGGGCAGGGACCCGCCTGCCCCGGGCTTGTCTCTACCAGGCTGCGGTGGAGTCAGAGACCCCTGCCCGCCTCTGCTCTCCACCACTGGGCTCGGCACCAGGCAGTGGATGAAGTGTAACTGAGACCGTCTGATCACGCTGATCAATGCATCCTAGGACAGAGAGGAGACGGGGTTGCGGTCAGGGCCAGGGTGAGACAGAGAGGGGTCTAAACATTCCCCAAATGTATATGCAGTCTGGCCTGGGCATCTCTGTGGGGGCCCCATGTCCTACACCAAAGACCTCCTATCCATGGCCTGATTTGTACTCATGAGAAATAAAGGACCTTTATAACAACCCTTATTATAACAGATGGAAAAATTGGGACATGGAGAGGACAAGTGAGCGGCCTAAGGCTGCATGGACCACTCGCCGAAAAGGAAGACTAGAACCCAGAACCTGGTCTGTGGGCTTTTCCAGTATAATATGCTATGAGTCATTTCTTCAAACCAATCCTTCCCACATCCCACCCTCCTGAGCTCAGCCTGACTCAGCCTGACCACTTGTTTTTGGATCAAGGTGTCCAGGTGACATCTTTACAGCCAGTGCTGGATCCTGCCGCCTCCCCTATGGAGAGCCTAGAGGTAAACATGCAGGCCTGCGAGGTGAGGAAGGCAGGTGGGGCTGGTCTGGCCGTGACATTTGTCACCTTGGTCAAGAGGGCAACTGTGGTTCCTGCAAACTTCCTAAAGCTGCTTAAGTTAAACCAAGGAGCTGAGGCTTTGGCCTCAGACTTGGACGGATCACTTCCACCAAATTTCTTTGCTTCCCTGAGCCTCGGTCTCTTCCTTGGTGAAGCGTGGGTGTTGCCCGCCCCTTCAGGCTCGCTGGGGAGCTCAGAGATGATGTGGGTGGGTAAGCCACCCTGGAGGCGGGCAGTGAGGCCACGACTCCACGGGGACAGGGCCCTCACTCACCATCTGAAGCTTGATCTGGCAGCACGGGGCCTTCCTCTTCACCGCGGCCAAGCTGCTGGCAAACGTTCTCCTCACCGTGCTGCTCCTCTGCTGGGCCTGCTGGGAGGTGCCCTCCAGGCCGGCCACGGCCCGGCACACAGGGGACAGCTTGGCCCGGGACTGGAACAGGCCCCTCAGCTCCTCCCTGACAGGTAGGAGGGGAAAAAGAGAGGTGCTTCAGGGGGATCACAGGGTGGAGCAAAGGGGACCCCCCTTGCCTCCTGCTAATCTGCCTCCTGAACCCTCCCCTCGAATCATACGCTAACTGCTTACTCTGTTCATGGTCCCTTCTGCCACACAAGCCTTTGCTTGGTGACAAATGTCAGCCCCTTCCTCCATGCCTCTCTTCCTCCCCTGACCTCAGAGCAACTTTCCTTCTACTGGACATTTCCGTCACCTACGTACCTGCAGGAATTCTACCCCGCCTGCACTTCCTTAGAGGGCAAATTCATCTCGGTCATCCCGAGAACAGGTCCAGTACACAGCAGGTGCTTACTGTGCTTGCTGTCGAACAGACAGCCTGAGCACCAGACAGACCCTACTGTGCCCCAGGAGGAAGCGGGGGCCCAGAGGAGGACCCGTGCCTCTCTGGTCGCACCAGCCCATCCCCTCCAGTGGACACCTGCGGGCACCTTCCATCGCTCCCTGCAAGTCCAGGCCCCACCCCGGTCCCAGCCCTCAAGACCCATTATCCACCCGCCTCTACGCCTACCCGACTGTCCAATATTAAGGAAATGAGTCTTGCCAGATGCACCAAGGGTGCTGAGAGAGGTTAGATGCATGGCAGAGCGCACAGACTAACAATGGCTTGAATACACTCACGCTGAAATAAAAATCTGGGGAGGGAGCGGTGGGGGGCGTGAAGCCCCTGGAAGCAGCAGCCCTGAGAGCAAAGGATGTCGGCACCAAGCCCTGGTACAGGGAGAGAAGGTCGGGCCCACAGCCCTGACCCATGCACGAGGACTGCCCCATCTGTGGGGTTGGGAGACCTGACTTCTGGTCTCCAATTCATTTTGTGCCTTGGGCAGTCACGTGTCCTCTTTGGACCTCCACTCCGTATATATAAAGCGAAAGCTGAGTGGGCATGAGAACCTCCTGGGAAGCCCCACCTGAGAGACTAGGTGGGCCCAGGAATGAGAAAGCGACACCAGCAGTCCTGGTGCATCAGGGACCTTGGCTGCAGAACCACATGCTAAGAAAAAGCACCAACGCTTGGCTCTCAAGCCTGCAAGACACCCTGCTGGGATTTACCTCCAACCTGCCGTGCTCTCTCACCTCCAAGCACACGCTGCTCCTTTTTCCCAGAACATCCCCCACTCACCAGGCCATCTGATCAACCAAGGTGTGCCCGCCCTTCCCTAACCCTACACCCCTCACTCAGCTTGAGCCATGGGATTTTAGAGCAGAAGGGAAATTTACAAGGCCACAAGACGTGTGGAGGGCCAGCTATGAACCAGGCTCCTTAACAAGCCATCTGTTATGTTACATCACCAAAGCCTGACAGCACACGTGTAAGCCTGGCGGCATCATTCCCATTTCTCCGATTGTGGAACTGTGACCCAGCTCACGCAGTTTGAAAAAGGGAAAAGCAGCATTTGTACATTTGCCTGACTCCAGAGCTGTGCAACATGGCCTTGCCCAACAAACCCTTATGTCATGATGGAGAAAGCGAGAAACCCAGAGGAGGGAAAGGGACTGCCCACAGTCACCCAGGTGACACGGGGCAGGGATGGGACTTGACCCAGGTCTGCTGGCTCCCCACACAGCCCTCCAAGTGCTCTTTACCCTTCCTTCTGCCCCATCCCCTGACTTGATCTCTTTCCAGGAGCTGTGCGCCCCTGAGCCCTCCCAGATACAGGCTTTCCAAACAACTCTGACCACCTAGACCCAAATTGTATCCCGGCTCTGCCACTTTTTTCTTTTGCTATGTGATCAAAGGTGAACCACTTGGCCTCCTGGGGCCTCAATTTTCTCATCTATAAAATGGGCCCAGGGATACAGCTGTTGTAAGAATTTTAAAAATGCTTATAAAGCGTTCACCCTGATGCCAGGTGCATAGCAGATGGCTAGTAAATGTTCTGGCCTGACACACACACACACACACACACACACACACACACAACAAGCATTTCCCAATAGCTCTTTGAAGTCAAAGCAGCCCTCTGCTAGCACTTCTGAGCAGTCAAGAAATGCAGTTTTTTTTATGCTTTTTTTAATGCTTTTCTAATGCTTTTTTTAATGCTTTTTTTAATGCTACAAAACATTATCACTTTGGCTTTACGACCCCCTAGTTTGAAGATGTCCATAGAAGTCCTTTCAGTCACATCATCTACCAGATACTTGATGAAAGGCCAGAAGCCAAAATAAGAAGTCACAGCTTCCTAGCTTTTGTTCCACTTCCCCAGAAGGCCGGCTTTTCTCCTCAGCTGGACTCAGGCTGGCCCTGGGAGACACTGAACTGCTCCTATTTGAGTCCGGGTCTTTGCGTCATTAGGGAGGGGTTCCTGTACTGGTCTCCATCACTGCGTTGCTGTGACTTCACGGCCCCAGCACCTCGAATGCCCCAGCCCGTCCCCAGCCCTGGCCAGGCTCACCTCTTCGACTGCTGCAGGATCTGGGGGGCGTCCAGGGCCGAAAGATTAGGCTTGGCCCTGTGGAGCCAGCCCGTGAGGTCATAGCGCACGGGGTCGTGTCCCAGCTGGTGGGCGATCTCGCACTGCAGGGGCTGCTCACAGGTCCGGAGGGCAGAGGTCCCTGAAAGCAGATACAGGGCATGAGTCTTGGGACCTGGTGGGGACACTCTGTCATCACCTGGCATCACTGAGAACACGCTTTTCCCATTTTAGTATGTTCCAACCTAGCTGAAGCTACCAGTTCTGGGCACCCATATTTCCCCTGCTTTGTGCATTTATGTGCATTACATCCAACCTCGATTCTGTTCCTCCTTGCTTTCTTAAACCCAGGATACCTGTTTTTCCCAACTACCATCAGCACACACAATCTCCATGATTTTTACCATACCCATGTTATCACCTGGGCTACTATTTACTTAATGTTTTCTTTCAATCGACTCACATTTTTACCGGTAAAATGTATTTATACAGAAGCATTATACTGCAGATCTGGTGTGCCAGCCATATTTATTTTCTAATATTTGTGGAAATAAATACACAATTATTAAATATTTTGAAAATGTGTGTACCACCTGAAATTGTCTTGAATACCAGCTACCAAATAAATGCACAGCATATTCTTGGGAGATGCTGGAGGACACCTGCTTCCAAAGGACAGAGTGGGAGAAACAAATGGGCTTGGAGTTGAGAAGACCTGTGTTCCAATCCTGACTTGACCATTTATTACAGTGGGACAGGGGCCAAGCCACCTACGTTTCTGAGCCTCAGTCTCCTCCTCTCCAAAATGTGGATTAAATAATACATGTCTCCCAGGGTGGCATAAGGTCTGAAGGAGAGAAGGTGTGTGAAGTACTTTGGTGAGGTCACTCCAGAGCAGTCACTCAGGAAGCAGCAGTAGTGGGTGTCACTGCCATTTCCTGCATTGAAACTTTTGCTGATGTTCTGGAATCACAAAAGGTTGACCTTCACATCCCCAGAGCCCAGAATCATGGTTGGCACGTGACTGGAGTCTGGAAGTGCTTGTGGAATGAATGAATGGATGGATGGATGGATGAATGAATTCCTGATCATTTTTCATATCACTCTCATTGCAGTGATGCTCTCAGGCTGAGTAATGGCTCCAGACCCATTATTATCAGAAGGTGTAGTACCATCTTGGTTCTTGTACCTACTCTGAATGATCTTCCTACATTTTCTCATCCCGTGATTGTCAGTGGGCCAACATGTATCCAGGATCTCGACTGCCTCCCTTAAATCTTAATTTGCTTCCTCTACACTTCACTGAGCTAAGAAACGAAGGACCTGCGTTTCTTAGAACTCTGCACAAAATAAACAAAGTCCGAGAGTCTTCAGGTTCTGCTAAGTAAGGGGCATGGATTCCGCCGTCTGTTTGGCTGCTTGGAAATCCTTTGTGCTCACTTCCTGGACCTCCTCTACGTTCTGGATCATTAAAGTTACCAGAAAGGCACACTTCTGGTTAAGTGAAGCATCACTGCATCAAGAGTGACCCATGAGCCCTTCAGAGACGTGCAGTCCCTGCCCTTCCATTGAGAGAAGAGCAAGGGACTTCCCTGGCAGTCCAGTGGCTGAAACTCCGTGCTTCCAATGCAGGGGACCCGGGTTCAATCCCTGGTTGGGGAACTATGATCCCACATGGCACGCAATGCAGCCAAAAGATTAAAGAATGAGAGAGAGAAGAGCAAGGGACAGAGCAGACACTCGGCCCTGGGACATACGTCCCCGACTCCCTGCAACGCTGCAGGTGTCTGTTTGCAAGGCTGCCTCCCTGCCCTGGACCGGAAGCAACGTGAGGGCAGGGGTCGTGTCCATTCAGCATGATGTCCAGCAGCTAGCACAGAGTTTGCTTCGAATGATGACCCCAAGGGCATCTGGGGAGGGGGAGGAGGCCCAGAGTGAAGAAAGGCTGCTCATGTGTGCTAAGCCCTGGCCACCCTCCATCACTCAGTCCTCACTCTGGTCTGTGATGTAAGCGTCACTGGCGCCCAGCATGCACCTTAGGTGAGAGACAACATACAGCGAGCTGGGTCAGCCAGAAAGCCCCACGTGTTCTGCTTGAGTGAACGTTCCCATTAAACGTTGGGACGATGATAAGAGCTAATCAGAAAGCCCTAGAGGCAAAATATATATATATATATTTAATACTGAAATGTCTGAGTTAATGTGTCTATCTCAGTCGGTCCAGACAAGATCTCTCCCCTGGGAACCGAGAGCCTTGCAGCATCCTGCTCGGGGTGTCCGGGACCGGCATGGTCAGGCCTCGCAGGGAAAGGACAGGGGCCGAGGGTCCTGCCCCAGCCACACCCTACACGACACTTTCCACTTCTGACCCTACTCTCTGTGTCTTTAGCTGAAACATCAGGACGAAAACATTCCATTCGAGAACTCCATTTCATTCAATTCTGGATCACCAGTGTGACTGGAGCAGAGCAAGCGAGGGGTAGGGAAGAGAAGATGGCAGGTATCCACAGGGGCCCTGCTATGCTCCAGGCACTGGGGAGACAGCAGAGAACAAGACAGGGGCACCCCGCACCCTCGGGGCGTACTGGGTGGTCGGGGGATTGACGAGAAGCAAGCAAACGGGTCACCAAACATACCAGAGCCCAAAAGGGGCCCTGAAGGAAACAAGCAGGGCGTCTTGTGATGGGACAATGTGGCTGAAGAGGAGACAGCTACAGACAGGGGTCAGGGAGGCCTCTGAGGAGAGCCCTGGCGCAGGGAGCTGAGGGAGCATGTACAAACGCTTCTAGGCGCACACAAGCTCCTCCGTGCTCACACCGGCCCCCAGGGTTATCACCATCTTACAGACGGGAGAGGGAGGCGATTTCCCAGAACTCACACGCGTTGCAACTAACTAGTGGAGCAGAGGCCCAACCCAGGTCTCTGGGGTCCAAAGCCTGGGTGGGCTTTTAACAGATCTGCCTCCCGGCTTCCTGTGGGTCTACCGTCCCCCGGAAAAATAAAAACCATTCCAGAACCCTGGAGACATTTCCTGCAGACAGAGGCTCCTTTCATAACCTGGAGAGGGTCAGGGGTCTGGCTGGCTCTCTGAGTGAGGCCTCCCGGGCGCAGCGCCAGCTCCGTGCTCTGTGCCTATGGGGCCCCGGTCAGCCACATGGCTTCTCCAAGGCCCCAGATGCCCCCGGGAGGTGGGGCGTAGTGGAGCCCACAATGCCCAGCTCAGACTAAGGGCTCCACAAATGGCAGTTGCACCTGCCCCTCCGTCCCCGTTCACTGGCTGGCAGAGGCGGACGTACCTCAGAAAACAGAGGTGACCTTCAGGAACGGAGATGACCGTTGGCAGCATCACATGGAGCACTAGGGCCCCCTCTGCACCCCCAGCGGAGGCAGTCCAGGGCTGCGCTCTGACTGCCCCGGGCCCCGGGCACTTTGCTTTCATGAGCCCCTTCCTCGCTCTATTTCCATATAGACAGATATAGATATAGAGAGATATGTATTGTGTGTGTGTATATATGTGTGTATACAAATACGTATACATACACACAAAATTACATTTCACAACTGTTGGTATAAAAACAAATAGATTAATATTAGTAATATATAAGTGTATTATATTAGCTTACTACAGCTGCCATAACAAAGTACCACAGACTGGGTGGCTTAAACAACAGAAATTAGTTTTCCCACACTTCTGGAGGCTGGAGGCTGGAAGTCCAAGATCAAGGGGTTGTCAGCAGGGTTGGTTTCATTGAGGCCTCTCTCCTTGGTTTGGAGATGGCTGCCTTCTCCCTGCATCTTTCCTCTGCGCATGTCTGTGTCCTAATCTCTTCTCCTGAGGACCAGTCATATGAAATTAGGACCCACCTCAATGACCTTATTTAACCGTTGTTACCTCTTTGAAGACCCTGTATCTATATAAAGTCACATTCCGGGGTGCTAGGGGTTAGGAATTCAATATGTAAATTTTTTTGCGGGGGGAATACAATTCAGTCCATAACATGTACTTAACCTAAACGTTCATTTTTTCTTTTTTTTTTTTTTTTGCAGTATGCGGGCCTCTCACTGCCGTGGCCTCTCCCGTTGCGGAGCACGGGCTCCGGACGCGCAGGCTCAGCGGCCATGGCTCACAGGCCCAGCTGCTCCGCGGCATGTGGGATCTTCCCAGACCGGGGCACGAACCCGTGTCCCCTGCATCGGCAGGCGGACTCTCAACCACTGCGCCACCAGGGAAGCCCCTTTTCTTCTACTTTTAACAGAAATCAAAAGACTTTCACGGGCCTCTAAGAGTACCACGGGCCCCAGGCACTGCCCCTCTTGCCTGGGGGAGGAGTCGGCCCTGGGCAAGTCGCCGCAGACCCAAGCTCTCCAGGAGCCATCAGGGTATTAACACTCTGGGCACGGTCCAGGGAGAGCGGCTGGAGCCAGCAGGTGGTACTGCTGTTTCTGCTGCTGTCAGCAAATCCAGCGCAGGAGTGCTGGCGGTGTATCCCGGACAGAGGCCCCAGCCCAGTGGCACTGAGAGCTGTCACACGTCTTTCTCCAACTCTTCCTCCCAATTTCTCATAAGCCACTCCAGTCAGACGGTCACCCGCAACGCTCCCACTGGAGTCGTACTTGTCTTGGTGGTCAGTGACCTCCACGCAGGCTAAGTCAGTGCAACTCCTCAGCCATGCCTCACTCGACCTTTCAGGAGCATTCAACTCGGTCGGTCCGTCCCTCCTCCTGCGGCTTCCAGAGTGCCACATCCTCCCACTCCCCTCCTCCAGCCCCGGCCACTCCTCCCCGGCCACCTTTGCTGGACACAGGCTTTGTCCCTGGCCCCTTGACCTTGGAACGTCCCAGGGCTGAATCCCTGGCCATTTTCACTGCCAACCCTCATTCCTTTAGTGATCTAAACCAGAACTGTGGTCCTCAACATCTTACAGATTTTTTTTTTTTTTTTTTTGCTTTATCATACATCTCCTCTGCTAGAATGTCAGTCCCTTGGGGTGGAGATTTTTGTTTTGTTCACAGATGTATTTCCTGGCCTAGGGCAGTGGCCACCACATTTTAGGTGCTCCTGAAATATCTGTTGAATGAACCAGTGAATGAATGACCCCACATCCTGACCACCATGTCACTTAGGACCTAAAAGACTTCAGAGTGTATTTGTCTTCTTACATGCCTGGGGCTGCCCAGGTGAGGGGGGCTCACAGAGATTTAGATCCAGACAAGGCTTGTGTTGAATCTGCCTTCTGACACTCACCCTCTGCGTGATCTCAGACAAGCGTCTCTACAAGCCTCTCTCTGGAGCTCACTTTCCTCATCCTGGGGGGTAAGAATATCGACCTCCAAATACGTGAGAGAATTCTACCAGACGCTGCACAAAGCTCAGAGCACGGGCCCCGCGTGGAGTGCAGACAGCATTCCTCCAGCTCGTGGATCCACAGGGATGATATTCTTCGTTGCGTCAACAGCCTCGGCCTCATCAATGACATCACACCTGGCCGCTGATGACGAAGCTCCTCAGGTACATCCTCTCACCCAATCACAGCACTGGAAATTCTGGTGAAAGGGAGGCCAGGGCGAGCTCCAACCCCATTGTTCAAGACTACATGAGATTTGTTCAGTGCCACGTTGGTGAAAGTACGAATAGCCGGACTTGAACTTGAGGCTGACACGTGCCAAACCCTGTGGTCTCTGATCTCACTGTCCCAGCTCGAAGTGTCCATCTCGCCTCACACTTTTCCTCCTGCCAATCCAGCCCATCACCCAGTGCTGGGGACGCTGCCTGCTCGGTACCTCCATAGTCTGCCCACCTCCCCGGGGCAGGCAGCTCCACTCTCACCTCCCTGGCCTCCTTCCTATCGTGTCTCCACACTGCAGTCTGGGTGAACTTCCTAGGACATGAATCTGACCATACCTGCCACTGCCTAGAATCCTTCCTGGCTTCTCATTGCTCTTGGGTTAAGACCAACGTTTTCTGTGAGGCCTGCAAGGGCTTGAGGTCTGAGTCCAGATGACATCTCCTGCCTTGTCCTGTACTGCGCTCCCTGCCCTCTGTCAGATTTACCTGCATACCTCTCCCCCTGAGGGCCCCCGGCTCCCAGAGAAATGAGGTCTGCCTGCTGCCCACCACCAAACCCCAGCCTGCCATCTCAGGCTCGGTGGCCACACACGTGCTTATGTGTTAGCCTGTCATCTCCCCCTGTCCCCGACTCCCCCCAGCAAGGACACGGATCCCATCAGTGCATTTGCTGCCATATAGAATGGTACCCAGCACACGGTAGTTGCTCAGGACACTTGAGGAATACATGAACGAATGAACACAAATGAATGAAAGCACACCCGGGCACATGCACAGACGTTTCTGCACTCAGACTTGACAAAGACAGATTCTAACCCCAGGCTGGACTCAGCACCCCGCCCCTGACTCGCTCCCTCACCTTCGGCGCCTTTCTTCTCAAAGGCGGCACAGAGGCGCTCGAGCACCACGCTGTCCCCGGAGCCCTCCACCCGGACCTCCTCATCCAGGAGCCAGAAGAGGCCCCTGGCGTCCTCAGCACCTCCTCCGGCTGGCAAGCGGACCTGGCAGGAGATCAGGATACACTGAGGAGTCCTGATCCCCCGACGGAGGCCAGGCCCGGGTTTCCCTTCCCACCTGTGGGAGTCGGGTGGGACCTGCCTCCCAGGCATCACAGGCCTAGATCCACATTCCCTACACCCCACACTCCCACTCACTGCAAGACTCTCAGTGTCGAAGCCACAAAACTAACAGTCTCTTGGTTACCAGGGGTCCAGATCCTGCCTGTCTTCATTTCCAGGGTGACCTTGGGCAACTTAACTGCACCTCTCTGAGCCTCATTCTTCCTCTTTTGCAAGATGGAGAGTGGTAATACTTTCCTCCGAGGGCTGTCGTGAGGGTTTAATAAGGGCAAGCACTCTATAAACTACACATCTCTGGCTCCACAGAGGCAGCTGGTCTATTCGTGTACAGCCAAACATGAAAGGATTAATCCCATCTGCATCACTTCCTCTTAGAAGTCTTTGTATTTTTTTAAACTAAAATCTTGAGGGGGAAAAAAGAAAGTTCCCAAAGCACGTCTTAGAGAAGGTGAAGTTGGTTCAGGGGCACAGACGCGGAATTCTAAATCTAGCTCCCAGCGTCAGAGACCATCCAGGCGATCCTGAAGCTTTGCATACGGGAAACTGAAAGAGGCCTGGAGAGTCTGCGGGACTTATCTGAGGGCCCACAGCGGGCTGACACATCTGAAAATGGTGCCAAGTGGTTAAAGTGGGAATGTGATGCATATGATGGCCAACGGTCCCAGTGTGCTTGGGGCCAGGGGCTTCCCAGGACGTAAGGATTTCAGTGCTGAGGCCAGCAAAGTCCCTGGCAAATCAGCACAGCTGGTCATCCTAATTCAGGAATATTAGTCCACACCCCCCTGAGAGGGGTCCAGACAGGGGAAGGGACACGTCCAGGGTCACATGGAGAGGCCCAGAGGCAGAAGTGGACCTGGATCCCAGGTATCCTGAATCTTCACCTTGGCCTTATTTGCTGGGGTTGAAACCTACAGTCAGCCCATCCCCAGAAGGTAGCTGTTCCAGCCACTGCCCAGGGGTCCCAGGGATGCCATGGTCCTTCCCTCCTTGCACTGCCCGGGTGGTCCCTTCAGGCCTGCCCCTCCCAGGTGAGGAAGCAGGACAGGGACGGGGAACCAGCCGAGAGGTGCCAGCAAGAAGTAGCAGCAGGTGTGAAGGGCAGGCTGGGCTCACAGACTGAGAGAGCTTTGCAGGGGCAGGTACAGCCTGCTGTGAGCCCAGAGAAGCCAAGGGACCAGGACAAGGTGTCCAAGTGCAGGAGAAACGCAACCTGCGGGACACCTACTGTGTGCCACACACCCTGCAGGGGCTTTACGTGCCAGATACCACGGGCGTTCACGACAACCCAGGGGATACCATCTATTGTTCCCTCTTGGGTGATGAGGAAGCCGAGGCTTGGAGAGGTTAAGTAACGTGCCCACGGTCACCAAGATCGGACCGGAGCCCAACAAGTTCCACAGCCCAAGCACTCTCACACGAAGATGCGCAATGGCCGGGGGCAGCTCTGGGAGACGGTTGAGCACAGGTGCAGATCTGGGGTCAGCACGGTGCATTCTGGGGCTGGGGAAAGGGAGATAACGACTCAGGTATCCCCCAAACTAAAGTCTGTCTGCCTCCAAGAAGCTCAAGGGCCTGGATCCACCATCACCCCCGCTCTCCATCCCCCAGGGGCCCCTACGGTCCCAGTCTCTGCTGGGCACAACACCTTCCTCTGAACACCCGATCTTTCCAGGTGACAGGGCTGGAGACCGCTGGGCACCGGCCCTGGACTCCCCTCAGCTCAGACCACAGTCCAGGTGTGGGTGCGTTCTAAGACGCAGACTCAGATTCTCAACCTGATGGGATTTAAATATTCTTTGCCCAGGCCACACCCCCCAGACCAATCAACGCAGAATCAGGGAGTGGGTCCCAGGCGTCAGTGTTTTTAACAATCCTTGGGTCATGCTAGGTGCAGGCAGTTTTGAGATCTAGTAGCTCAAAGGCTCAAATCTGCCAGGATTTCTAAAAAGGCCGTGCGGCATCTGAGAGGCCGTGTTACCTGCAAAGGACTCTGATCCACAGCAGCCACCGTGGTCCCCAGGGATGGCTCCGGGAGGTCAAACTGCACAGGAACATCTTCCTAGAAAGTCACAGAAGTTCAGCATTAGCTCCTTCCATGAGCTGAAGGGGAAGAAACTTCTGAAGGAGCAAAGAAAAGTGAGGACTTCCATCGTCACACCTTGGCCATTTTGTGTGTGTGTGTGGTACGCGGGCCTCTCACTGTTGTGGCCTCTCCCGCTGCAGAGCACAGGCTCCGGACGCGCAGGCTCAGCGGCCATGGCTCACGGGCCCAGCCGCTCCATAGCATGTGGGATCTTCCCGGACCGGGGCACAAACCCGTGTCCCCTGCATCGGCAGGCGGACTCTCAACCACTGCGCCACCAGGGAAGCCCCAAGGCCATTTTTTTTAATCGTGGTAAGAGTAGACATGGCATAAAATTGAACATTTAAATCATTTTTAAGTGCACAGTTCGTTGGTGTAAAGTACATTCACACTGTTGTGTAACTGTCACCACCATCCGTCTCCAAAACGTTTCTTACCTTGCAAAACTGAAACTCTGCACCCATTAAACACCAACTCCCCATTTCCCTCTCCCTATTTCTGTGTCTATGAATCTGACTCCTATAAATACCTCGTATGAAGAGAATCGTACAGGATTTGTCCTTTTGTGACTGGATTATTGCACACTTAGCACAATGTCCTCAAGGTTCATCCAGTCGTAGCATGTGTCAGAATTTCCTTCCTTTTTATGGTTGAATAATAGCCCCTTGTGTGAAGAGATCACATTTCTTTACCCACTCATCCACTGATGAACACTCGGGTTGCTTCTACCTTTTGGCTATTACAAACGATACTGCTGTGAACATAGGCATACAAATATCTCTTCGAGACCTTGCTTGAAATTCTTTTGGGTAGATACCCAGAGGTGGAATTGCTGGATCAAATGATAGTTCTATTTTTAATTTTTTGAGAAAACACCATACTGTATTCCACAGCAGCTGCACCATTTTTATTGTGCACAAGGGTTCCAGCTTCTCTACATCCTCCCCAACACTTCTTACTCTTTTTAGTCTAGTGGGTGTGAAATGGTATCTCAATGTGGTTTTGATTTGCATTTCTCTGAACCAGTGATGCGGAACATCTTTTCGTGTGCTTATGGACCATCTGTATATCTTCGTCGGAGAAATATCTATTCAACTCCTTTGCCCACTTTTAATCGGGTTCTTTTTGTTTTTGATCATCACCCCTTAGCCCTTGTGTGAGAAGAAAGGATATAGACCAGCAGCCCAATAACATCCTAATACTGTTCATCCTCAGGGTGGTCAGCAATCACGGTGAGAGCTTTATCAGGAACTGATAATTCAGGGCAAACTTTTCTAATATTTACGTAGTACCTAATAAGTGCTGGGCTGAGTGCTGGGCGCTGGATGGAGCAAAAAAACTATGGATAATAAGAGTTGGCATATAAAAGTAACCGGAAATATCCAGATAATGCTATGCTCAAAGATGTTCATCACAGTGCTGTTTATAACAGCATAAACATGGAAATAACTCAGATGGCCAAAAGAGAGTTCAGACAGAATCAGACATAACCACAAACATGCATCCTTACTAAGAGCTGTGAATGGAGCGAGGAAATGTGAATAACATAATGCTATGAGGAAAAAGACTATAAACTCGTGTGTACAGATGGATGGGAAATCTGCAGAGAAGACCATATATGGAAAAATGGCTGGCGTAAGATACAGACAGTGGTAACAGTGGTTGCCTCTGGGTGGTGGGGCTAAAAGAGATTGTGTTTTCTGCTTCTTGACACTTATACGCACTTTCCAGTTTTTAAATAAAAAACATGTTTTACTCTGATCATCAGAAATAAGTGAAATATTATGGGACAAAAAAATATGATGGCTGCTACTATACGTGGAATGCCTAATACACATTACGCATTTCCCTATCCCACTTCATCAAATGCTCCAAACAGCCCCTTTAGGCAGTACGGTAAAAATGACTGTGAAAATAACCGCCACCTCTCCCCTTCCCCGTATGCACACTCTCGGTACGGATATGGAAGTGTCTCCCATCAAGAAGCGGACGCCATCTCCCCGCCCCGTGGGTCAGGGCTCAGCCTTGGACTTGCTGTGACCAACTGGTAACAGCAGAGGTGACGCTGCCAGTTTCAAGTCTCGGTCCCAAGGGGCCCTGAGCACTCCTGCTCACTCTCTTGGACCCCTGCCCAGCGCCATGAGAACAGCCTGAGCTAACCTGCTGGAGGACAGGGCACTCCTGGAGCACAGGTGAGTCATCCTAGCCAAAGGGCTGCCTGGATCAGCTCATGGCCAGCTGACCTCCAGACACAGGGGAGAGCCAGCCAAGAGCCACCTACCCAGCCTGCCTCCGACCACAGGCACACGCTCTCCCAGCCAAGACCAGAATAGCTACCTAGGCAACCCAGAGACCTGCGAGCAATAACAAAAGGTTATTATTTAAGCTACTATGTGTTGGGATAGTTTATTATGCAGAATTACTGCGGGAAATGGTAACTGATACAGGAGTATTGCTATTTCTATTTTACATGTGATAAAACTGAGGTTCAGAGAGGGTGAGTGACTTTCCTAAGGCCACACAGCCAATAAGTGACAGAGTTAGGGTGAGACCCCAGGTCTCAGCAATGCCATGTGTTTAAGATTTATTCATATTGACGTTTTCATGTTCATTGCTGTCTGGGCTCCAACCAAAGAAATGACCATAATTTTAACACCCATTATCCTACTAATAAACAATATGATCATTTCTCAGATTTTGCCATTAGCACTTGCTGGAGCCAAAGGGGTCCCCTTCAGGGAGGAAGGAGGGAGCAGATGCTAGGGGGCATCGGGGGTGCTGGCGATGTTCTCTCCTTTTATCCTGGGTGGTAGCTGCAATGAGTTTGCATGGTTGGACAAATTCACTAAGCTGTACACTTCTGATTCAGGCACTTATTTGTGTAAATGTTATAGTTCAAAAAAATTTTTTTAAATATAAGTAAAGGAGGGCAGGCAGGGACGTGCCTGTACAGGTTTCCTGGTTCACATATACAGAGTTTCTCCAGGGGGCCTCCTAGAAAGGGAACTGCATCTTCACCTTTCCTAGATGCTCCCACATTATGATCCAAAAGGTGTGCAAACCCACTATCTTTACCCACAACCGGGCACGAAGGGCCTTCCACGGGGAAGATGCAAACTAACTGTTGGAGGAGGATTCAGCTTGGGTATGTGGGCGAGGAGGAAGAGGTCAGTGCAAACAAGGGACAGCAGTGGGAGTGAGGCCTGGGGAACCCCAAGTTCTGGACTGTAAGGTGCGGGGGCTGTGGCTGGAGACTGGGCTGTAGAGGGAGACAGAGGAGCAGCAGAGGCCCAGGAGCCAGGCCTGGAGTTTGGGTTTTAATCATCGACGGACCAGACAGGATGAAACTAAAGCCTACCGGAGGACCAGATGACCACCCCCTCCCCTGTCCCGCCCAGCCTCACACCCTCACTGAGCCACTGCGAAGGCCCCACCCCAGCCCAGCCATACCTCCCGGAATCGCTCCAGCGTTGAGACAAAGGTCCGCTGGTAGAAAAGCAGCTGCAAGCGCTCGTGAGCGTAATTGTGGCACAGCTCCTCAAAGGTGGCGGCCCGGTCTTTGCCATGGTGCCGGGGGTTCTGAAAGCCTGGAGAGTCCACCACCATGATGGAGGCCATGGAGAGGTGGTGGGAGGAGAAGGATCTGGGGGGGAAAGGAAAGGGGCCCCGAGAGGACAAGGACTCTTAAAACCCCGTTGGTCCAAGCCTCCCACACCCCTGCATCACAGAGATGGAGAAACCAGAGCAGCACGCTGGGCGGGTCTGCAGATCCAGCAGATCTCACCACTTGCAGGCTGTGTGACCTTGGGAGAGTTACTTAACCTCTCTGAGCATGGGTTTCCCCCACTGTTAAATGGTGGTAGGGATGAGTAAGATGACCCCAGGGGCTGCAGTAAGAAGAGAAGGAGTTGAAGTATGGAAAGTGCCTCCCACGGACACCGCAGGCCTTCAGGAAACGTGCTCTCTCTACCAGGCCCAGAGTGGAGAAATGACTTGCTTAAGGTTGCACCACAAGTTGGCTATAAAGTTAGGACTAAAGTCTCCTTTTCTTGCTTAGTGACACGCTGCTATAGAAAAACAATTTTGTTCAGTGCCTGCCTCAGTTTACAAAGATCTCTCAAGCCATCACCTCCTTGGAGCCTCTTGACAAATCTATCAGGGGGACAGAGAAGGGATTATTCACATCAAAAAGCAGGAGTTAAGAGACTCTGGAGAAAGTCACACGTGGGCTCCAACCCTCGCTCAGCCACGGAGGGGCTGTGTGTCTTGGGAGAGTTGCCTGACCTCTCTGAAACTCAGCTGTGAAACGGCTAATGATGGAGATGAACTTAGAAGGCTGTTGGGAGGGTTGGATGTGATAAGACATCCACGGCTCTGAACGTGGTAAAGCGGTCAGTGTGTTTTCTGTTATTATTATCATTAGCGTGACCAGCTATACACTTTGGAGGGCCCTTAGTTTAAACCTGAGCTCTTTGCTGTTATTTGCTGAGGTTTTCCATTTGTAAAATGGGGCCAATAAGATCAGCCACCACATAGACATGCATGAAGATTAAATCAGTTAATGTTCAGAAAGCCAGACGCCTTCTAGGTGCTCATAAACGTAAGGGTAGTTGGTATCGTTATCACCAATACACCCATTTTATGGCGGCAGGCTCCCAGAACCAACCAGGAAGCAGCCACCCTCTGCAGGCTGAAGCAGCCGCCCTCCACTGGCAGTTAACCAATAAATACTTCTTCCCCTAAGCACACATGATCCCCCTGGTTTCTAGATAATGTGTCTGTGGTCTCAGAGGGTAATTACTCCAGCAGCACGAGGGGGCCAATTCTGTGTCTGTGGAGAACCCCACCTGCACTGTTGCTACACACCAGCCTCATCCTTAACAGGATGTCAGAAGCCTAGTTACACCTCCTGCTTTCACAGAGGAGGGAGGGAAGCCCTTGCCCCAGCTCTGGTTTGGCCACACTGGAACTGCTTAAAGATTTCCCGGGGCTCACAGCAGCACTCACCACGGTAGAAGACAGAAGCTCCTGGCAGTACTACCTGCAGATACCTGCAGTATTTTATGATCACGATTAGGAAGAGCTGTTTACAGACACTATTTCTTTTTTACTTTATTGTTTAATTTTTTATTTATTTCTTTTAATCCTTACAGTGACCCTGAAGGAAAAGAGCCATTTTTACAGATGCAGAAGGAGAGGTCAGAGAGGTGAACTGATTCGCCGAAGTCACACAGCCCACAGGTGGCCAAGGTGGAATTTAAACCCAGCACCATAAGACACGGCTCAACAAGCCCCTCTCCAGCTCAACAAAACCCCACTCTGCTAAACTCCCCAGACTCCCCGGGTTTGGGCTCGTTCATACACTGCAAACAGGCCGCCTCTGTAACCAGGAGAAGGTTGCCATTACCTGTTGATGAGCGAGACCACGGCGGCAAAGACCTCTTGGTACAGTCCCGAGGCCATGCCCTCCACACACTCCACTCCTGTCATCTTGAGCCCTACAGTGGGGAAGAGGGGCGGGTTGACATCCCGTGGTCAGGACCTTGCCTGGGGCCGAGGTCATCGCTCCAGGGCCATCATTACTGGCCTTAGTGCATCTTCCCCCACCGCGCACACACACATCCCCCTACTGCTGAAATTACTTACGTTCTTAGGACCAAGTTCAAGTGTCCTACCAAGTCTTCCAGGGTCCTGTGTGACCTGGCCCTACCTCCCTAACCTCCACTGTGATCTCCTGCTCAACCCTCAGGGCTCAACCCAACGTCACCTCCTCAGGGAAGCCTGCCTTGACCACCACCGCCACCCCATTAAGCCAATTCCCAGGTCTACCTTGCTTTTTTGAAAATTTTATTTATTTTTCACACTGAAGTCATGATTGACATACCAAAAGACCTGTACATTTTTAATGTATACATCCCGATGAGTTTGAAGTATACACCCATGACACCATCACCATAAACACACCACAAACATAACCATCACCTCTAAAAGTTTCTTCCCTCCCTCTTTGTGTGTGTGTGTGTGTGTGTGTGTGTGTGCATGCGCGTGCGAGATAGGAACTTTTAACATAAGATTAACAAATTTTTTAAGTATAGAATATGGTATTGTTAATTACACTGTACAGTAGAGATATTCATCTACTGATCATTTTATTCATCTACCCTCTAGGATTTATTCATCTTGCATAAATAAAACTATGTGCCCTTTGATCAAAATGTCCCATTTCCCCCTCCCTCCACCGCCCTGGTAACCACCATTCTACTCTCTGCCTCTATGAGTTTGACTTTTTGAGATTTCTGACGTGAGTAGTATATTATTCAACAGTAAAAAAAAAAAAAAAAAGAAAAAAAGAAAAAAAAGAAGGAAATGCTGCCATTTGCTACAACACGGATGAACTTGGAGGACGTCATGCTAAGTGAAGTAAACCGGACACAGGAGGACAGATCTACCCTGATTTTACAGCACTGCCCACAGCACACCTGCACTTTGTGGTTATTTCGTTAACCTGCATCTCCCCCGCCCCGCCACCCAGGCAGGGAGCGCCCTGAGGGTGAGGGCTACCTTTGGGTTTGCTGGCTCCAAATCCCCAATTCCTGACACGTAGTAGTTACTCAGTAAATATCTGTTGTTCCCTCTTTCTAGAGGGAAATTTGGCAATTTTATAGTAGAAGCCATAACATGTTCATATACTTGGGCTTAACTTCACTCTTAGGATTTTATTCTAATGAAATAATTCAGAGCAACAAAGATTTCTAAGTATGTATGTTCTCCCAATTGTTGCTTAAATTGGCAAAATAAAATCACTTTTTTGAGACAACCTGAACATCCAACAATAGGAAATGGGTTAGATAGTTTGTAGTCCATCCATACAAAGGAACACTTAAAAGTCAGGTCTAGAAGAATACTGAATGAGATGGAAAAGTGCCTGCCTATAGCGTTAGGAGGAATAAAAAAAGCTTAGAAAATTATTATAATGGCAGCCCCAATTTTGTATAAATACACACACTGGTCCCATTAGAACAGCCAGCCTTGATTAGGGGTCACTGAGCGAAGCGGGATAAGGAGTGGAGGGCTCAGATCACAAATATTGACCCTTAGGTTTTGCTTCCATCCACAGAATTGGAAACACAATTTCCAAATCTGCACACACTAGTGTCTAGAGAAACAGTTCTGCTTGTACATTCCAGGCAGCCCACTGCAACCCCAAAGCAGTTCCCGTCCCTGCTTTAACTCTGCCCCCAACCTGGGTCGTTGCTAGGCAACCCACAGCCTCCCAGCATCTCTCATAAGCTTGCCGGTCCCCTGCCTGCTTAACGTCTACCCTTGAGACCTCAGCCTGAGAGGGTGACTCAGCTTCACCAAGCAGCGTGTGCACGCATCTGTGCTTGTGTGTGTGTGTGTGTGCGCATATGTGCATGTGATGGTGCGCGCACATGCATGTGTGCGCATGCCTGTGCATGGTATGTTTGTGTGCCCGTATGTGTGTACCTGTGTCCGAGAGGAGGTGTAACCATTAAGCAGACCCCAGCTTACACCAGAGCACAGACCTGGAAGGCAGTGGAGTCTCGGTGACATCAGCCATCAAGCTGAAGTCCCTGGCAGGTAGAGCAGCCACGGGGATCCGAGGGGCCTCTAAGAGAAGGACCCCAAAACCACAGTTCCAAACAGTGCTACCCACTAAGCCCAGACTGTGGTCTCTGGGAGAGCTTCTCTTGAGAGAGTTTGCAGCGAACCCTGGGGCTCCAAGGGGTCCCTCTACCCTCACCTTCCGCAGCCACAGCATCTGGCTGCAGAGGCTGCAGACCTGGGACTCAGCACACCTCACTCTAGCAGGTGCAGTTCAAAGCTCCTGTTTTCCCCCCGGGTCTTTTCAAGCACCCCCATTCCTCCTGCTGCTCAGGCGAAGGTCCTAGAAGGTGCCCTGGCCCCCTGCTTCCACCTAGGGCCCATGCCATCAGCTCTAACTGTAAACTAGACCTTGAACTGGTCCACCACATCCCATCTGCTCCCACCTCCATCACCTCACCAAGGTGACTTGTACCCATTCCCACTCATTCCCTGATCTTCCTCCAGGCTGAGCTTCATGAAGAATACAACAAATCATGCCATTCCCCTGCCTGTGTGCCTCCATGGCTTCCCTTGGTCTGAGCAGAAAACCCCTAGTTTACAGACTATTGTGTCAGCTGACCCCACTGAGCTCTCCAACTTTATCTACTGTCCTCCCAGCTGGGCCAACCATCCTGGCCTTATTTCTGTTCCTCAAACTGAGAGGTGAGTCTTCTGCCTACAGCGTAGGGGCTCAGCAAATACAGCATCCACTGGAAGCGCATTGGTCCCTTGGCACCATCCACAGCATCCCCTCTTTGCAGCATAGGGCCCCTCCTGGGTTTCAGCAGCCTTTGACCCCTGGGCAGAGCTAACTAGCTGACCATAAGCACGGCGTCAGAAGGAGCCAAGTCCATTTCCAGGGGAGTGGCTTCCCTTGCACCTAGAAGGTCTGCACACCGTAGACCCTCAGGAAATCCTCGATGGATAGTGAAAGGGTGCTGGTGTGTCCCCAGGGGCCGGCCCCGCAGGGACGCAGCCCACCCAGAGAGGCAGCAGCGCGGTACCTGAGCTGGCCCCCTCATCCTCCTGGCCCCGGCGGCTCGGCGCAAACGTCATGCGCTCGATGATCTGCCGCAGGTGGTGCTTGAAGGTGGCTGTGTTCAGCTCCTCGTACTCGCAGCCCAGGGCCTCTGCCGCGTGGCTGGCCGACTCGAAGTGCATGAACTGCTTCCGGCCCACTGTGCAGGGGACAGAGCAGGAGGAGGGTGGTGAGGTCCTGGGTGGGTGGTGGGCGGGCGTCCAAGAACACCTCGGAGAATCTCGCCACCTCCCACCCTCAGCAAGAGCCTGAACGACTGCCCAGGCCTGGGCCCCCAGCTGATGGCCCCGGGCAGGAGACGCTTTCCCAAGAGACATGTTTGTCCCATTTCCCTGTCATCTGCATTGCTCACTTTCCCAAAGCAATTAAAAATACCATGGGGAACACTCTAAACGTGGGACTGGGGAATGGTCAGTAAGACTTACCCACCCACATATCCACTTACCTATCCATCGACCACCCCTGCCACCCACTGACCTAGCCACTCAGCTACCCACCCAGCCACATATCCAAAAATCTAACCACCCTCCCCTTTATTCAATACATATTTCTGGAGCTCTTACTATGGGACAGGCACTGTGTCAGCCTCTGGGAAATCGGTGATGAGCAAGACAGACAAAGTGTCTGCCCTCACGGAGCTTACAGTCTTTGAGAGAGGGAGACAATAAACAAGTAAGCAAATAAATATTTCAGGTGATGAAATTATAAAGTTATTTTTTCCCTCTAAGGAGAAAATAAAACAGGGTGATGGGGTCAAGAGAAACTGAAGAGTGGCTATGGATGCATGGTGGTCAGAGGCGGCTCTATATGAGGATGTGATAGGTGGACTGGGGGTATGAAAGATGAGAAGGAGCTGGCCACACAAAGAACCAGGGAAGCGCTTTAGAGGCAGAAGGAGGAGGTGGTGCAAAGGCCCTGAGGCAGGAATGAGCATGATGTGTTAGGGAAGTGCCAAGAAGGTCAGCGTGGCTGGGATGTAAGTGGGGAGGGGAGTAACCAGACGAGGTTGGAGAAGCAGTGGGGAACCTCTCTATGGACTATTATAATGCCACTTAATATCAGCCACAAAGACCGTACAACATGGTCAATTCTTATTTTCAAAATGTTAAAGGAAATGGACTAGAAAATCACGCCACAGTATGACATCAATTGTGTAAATCACTCTAAACTGCTATAAAGACAAATAACGAAAAGGAAATATATCCAAATACGAACAATCAGAGGGTAGGGGAATTTTTTATTTTCCAAACTTTCTGCAGTGGTTCTGCACTAACTTTGTAATCCAAATTTTAAAAAATAATGACTTACTAAAGCAAACACTAGTTCCATCCTTAAGTAATTTTCTCCCAATTCCTATCTTCCCATAAATGTGTTTCCTTCTTTGAAATAAGAATCACAGCTGCCAACAGAGATTTCTCAATCCATCAGAAAGAGATCTTAAGGGCCCAATTCTTCAAACAGACATCTTAAAGAATCTAGATGCCTGGTTTAAGAAAAATGTGGAAATTTGGAAAAAGACTTTATCTGGGGCCTTGACAATACCCAGGACGAAGCAGCTCTGGCCACTGCTTATCGAGGTCCTCCTACATGCCAGTTATTCTGCACTGATTATCTCAAGAACAGCATTTTATTACCTCCATTTTAGAGACTGAATCTCAGCTTTACCAGAGAGGTTACATGGCTAGTAAAAAAGTCCTGCCACTTTATTTTAATTTTTTTTTTCTTTTTTGGCTGCATTGGGTCTTTGTTGCTGCACGCGGGCTTTCTCTAGTTGCGGTGAGCGGGGCCTACTCTTCATTGCGGTGCTCGGACTTCTCATTGCAGTGGCTTCTCTTGTTGCGGAGCATGGGCTCTAGGCGCATGGGGTTCAGGAGTTGCAGCGTGTGGGTTCGGTAGTTGCGGCACGGGGGCCCTAGAGCATGCAGGCTTCAGTAGTTGCGGCGTGTGTGCTGAGCAGTTGCAGCACCTGGGCCCTAGAGTGCATGGGCTTCAGTAGTTGTGGCTCACAGGCTCAGTAGTTGTGGCTCGCGGGCTCTAGAGCGCAGGCTTAGTAGTTGTGGCGCATAGGCTTAGTTGCTCTGCGGCATGTGGGATCCTCCCGGACCAGGGATTGAACCCATGTCCCCTGCATTGGCAGGCGGATTCTTAACCACTGAGCCACAGCAAAGTCCCTGCCACTTTAAAAAATGGTGAAGAAGGTAACAACGATGGTGGTGATGACGTGGTGATGATAGTGGAGGTGATGGTGGAGATGATAAGATGATGGTGATGATAGCAGTTACCACTCAGTGACCCCATTTTATTCAACATGTCCTCTTTGTTCAGCTCATGGCTTTTGGAGTCAGAAAGTCTGTCTTGGAGTTCCAGGGGTGACACAGAAAAAAACTCAATACATGCAAGTTGTAATTACTTATTATTATTACTATTATTGAATCTTCACAAAAGTCCTCAAAAGCAGTATTATTCCCATTTTACAGATGAGAAAACTGATTCGGAAAAGTCACCAGAAATCAGACTAAGTGGAAGAACTATTTCCCCAAAATCAACCCTTGCAATGTCACCTTTAGGAAATTTGTCAAATCCTTGTGTCCCTAAATAGGACTTTCTTTTAAATGGACTCACTAATCTTTTTCACTTACGTAAATACCTTGTGAAAGGAAATGTTATAGCACTAACTTAAACAAGAATCCATTTGTTGAAGGAGGTCATTGAGAGGATATGACCACCAGGTGACCTGCGAGCTGGCCCTGGGCAATTGGAAGCTCCTCAGCCCTTCCCCTGCCCTTGGAATATACATCCAGCCCCTCCCCCACTCCCACGGTGGCAGCTGTTACAAGGACACAGCCTTGAGAGAGCAGGGTGTTACTGAGACCATCCAGAAGGTCTCCGTGACTGAGCCCAGTTCCGGCCTCTATAAACTTTAAGACTCTGGCGGGCGGGGGTAGAGACCTACCCTTCCTGCAGCATCCAAGACAAGCCTTGTATGTCAGTTCCCTTGCATATTACACCTGCCACCCACCAATCTGGAGTGGCTGCCTCTTTCTTCAGTCTCTCCCTGCCCTCCACCACAGTGGGGGCCAGTTTCTGAACCAACACTGTGATCACTTGTCACAGATAGAAAATAGAAATAAATACAATACGTGTACAGAAATACCATTAGATTCTAATTAGATACAGTTACCTGGGAGTCCGAGGTCTGCTTTCTCTTTGTTGAAAAAGGGAGATTAGCAAGTATTACAGAGAGGAGTTAAAGGCTACTAGCCCTGAATGAGATTTCCTTCTTCCTGTGATGGGGTTGAAAGTGAATTAAACAGGAGATGACTGTCTAGGTGGGCAACGTCCTGCCCCTCTCCTGCCCCATCACCTCTGCTGCCACCCTCTGAAACAGTCTGCCACACTCTGGCCACAGTGACCTATAGCCTCGCTGAGCTGGGGAGAGCTCATGAAGGGGCTCAGCAATGGTTGTTTCTGAAAAGGGGAGCAGGATATGGACTGGGCAGGACTCTCTAGGTCCCGCCTGACGTAAGGGGCGTATTTCCAAGTGTGCTGAGCAGCATCCCGCTGGTGAAACCCAGGAGGCACATGGGAGCTCTGCCGCGAAAATGTACTTCTGCTTCCAGCTCCCGAAGGCTGGCCAGGCACCAAATCCGACCCCATGGGCCCCTCTGTCTTCGTCCAGACCTGGGTGGAGGCCACGCCTTCTCAGTGGAGGCTGAGAACCCTGGGGCAGCACCTGCGGTGAGGAGAAAGGGGACTGGACAGCAACACAGGCACCGGAGCAGACAGGGTCTGGGTCCCATTCCCGTCATTCCCAGCTGTCAGCCCTTGGACCAGTCTCACAGCCTTTTTGAGCCTCAGTTTCTTCATCTGCAAAACGGAGTCACAAAACCTCAAACACCTCTTCACTGGGCTGCAAGGACTGGGCGAGATGGTGGCACGTGAGGCTCTGAGCAGAGCACCTGGCCCTGAGAAGGTGCTGGACAAATTTGAATTCCCTCCTCCACCTGCAAAACCAAAGAGGGCACCATTCACCCCAACCCGGATCGCCCCATCCTGGGGCTGCAAGGACTCCTCCACAAGATCTGTCTGGTGCTTCAGCGAGAGCATGTGTGGAAGGGATAGTGAACTGGTGAACTCCGGATGCCGGTCACGCCCAGGGGCTCTGAGCCCACCGAGGTCGTTTCTCCTCCAAGGAAAGGCGGACACACGCTGGTCTCAGCACTTCCCACCAACCCCCCCAAAGCTGGGGACAGAGCTATCCTCGAATGACACCGAGGTTGGAGATGCCAGTATACAGAGGGCTCCAGCCCCCGTGAAGCCATCACCGAACGAGCGAGGACAGCCACCAAGCGGGGAGCGCGTGCCGTGTGCCAGGCCCTGTGCTAGCACTTCCCCCGCCTCATCGCTTTCCTCTTCTAAGCCCCTGGGATCATTCAGATATGGAACGGAGTAGGTCAGGTCTCATTTCCTGTCCAAGGTGGTTCCAGGAGTGAGGGGCAGAGGGGGATTCCCACCCTCCCGTGCTGACGTCACACCGTGTGCAGCCGCCCGCTGTTCTGTGCCGGCAGAGGTCTGTGTGGTCACTGCTCTGGCCTAAGAGAGCTGGCACGAGGAAGCGTTCAATAAACATTAACATGGTGAGTGATGAAATGAAACAAGGAGTCAACGACGAAATGAACACTTCTCACTGATGGCCAGCCCTGCCCGAAGTGGCAGATCTCCAAGGCTTGGGAGAGAGAAACACTGTGTTTCCCTCTCCCCCGCAAACCAGCCCATCTGAACCTCAGAGCTGCCTTCTCTAACAGGAAAGATCAAACAGAAGATAAAACAAAAGGGAGAGAGGCAGAGAGACACAGAGAGGGAGAGGCAACGAGCCAGAGATGGAAACAGACAGACAGGACCAAAAAAATCTTGGAGGGGAGGGTCTGTGGATTTTTCCCCGCCTCGTAGCCCACCCCGTAGGGGATTCACACACTCTATCGGGATGCTTTCCTGCCGTACAGCAGGAGGCGAGGAGGCTGTGCCCAGAATGATCCCAACGCCAAATGCAGAGATCACTTCAGGCATGTGCATTTGGCTGCAGCCATTCTGCCGGTCACAGGTGGGAAACAGGACCCCGTGGCAGGCGGGCCCGGGGCT